TCCTTTCCTTTCCTTTCCTTTCCTTTCCTTTCCTTTCCTTTCCTTTCCTTTCCTTTCCTTTCCTTTCCTTTCCTTTCCTTTCCTTCTTTCTCTGTTCTCCTTTCCTTTCCTTTTTCCTTTCCTTTTTCCTTTCCTTTCCTTTTCCTTCCCTTCTCTTTTTCCTCTCTTCTCCTCTCCTTTCCTTTTCTCCCTTTTCCTTCCCTTCCATTCCTCTTCCACTCCCTCTCCTCTCCTCTTCTCTCTCCCCTTAAGAAATACAAATTACTTTCATGCATTACAGAACAAAAACATACACACTCATACCCCCCTGTATGCTCTGCTCCCTTAAAAGGTTTATAAGTGAATACTGAATAGAATAGAATAGAATAGAATAGAATAGAATAGAATAGAATAGAATAGAATAGAATAGAATAGAATAGAATTCTTTATTGGCCAAGTGTGATTGGACACACAAGGAATTTGCCTTGGTGCAAATGCTGTCGGAGTATATAAAAGAAAAGATACATTCATTGAGAGTCAGGAATCATATTAAACAAGCCACAAGATCGGGGAAAAGAAAGGATTGTGTAATTTGGGCCGATTTAAGTGCAGTTTTCTTGTATTGCATCTTTCGCCCGACTTTTTCCATCCCCTATGTCGCCAGCCATTTTTCCCTGTCCCGCTTGGGTCTGAAAAAAATACAGGATAAAATGCTCTGAATAAATCCTCCATCAGGGCCTGCTGATTCAGTATCAGAAGTCCGGTGGCAAAGTTTTTAGACATTCAAAGGAGCTAATCCTCACTGCGCTGCTCAGCTCTTCCATTTCCGAGCTCACGGGGGCAGCTGAAAAGACTGGGCTTAGAGGTCCCTATTATCCTGGGCAACTGAAGCTTGAAGTCTAAGCCGGCCTGCTTTGAGAACTGCTGAGTTCAGCAGAGTGGGGCAAACCCAAATTTTCCAGGCACTGAGGGAAAAAAACCCTCTAACCGGGTCAGGCGAAGGGTCACGGGGAGGGAAAGAAACACAGAATAAAGCAGAGGGCTATGAAAAGAAAAAGGGGAAAAAAAGAACAGGCAGCCTGAAGCAATGGAGAAGACGACCGCAGATGGAGTAGCAAGTGGGGAAAGCTAGAGAGAAAGCCGTCAGGATTGAAGGTGTGTCTACAGATGAAGAGGCAGCAGAGGTTGGCGTCAGGGGGCGCTAAAGAAGGAAAGGGGTAGGACAGACGGAAGGAAAAAAGGGGGTTAGAAGGGGAAAAGTTGAGGGGAGGCTGGGAGGGGGGTTGTTTTAGAAGTGGGCAGGAAGGAGGTATTGAAGGAAGGAGGGTTGGCAGGGTTGAAGAAGGAGAAGGGAGATGGTAGAGTGGTCCGAAGAGATCTGACGAGTGGGGTTGTGGGCGAAGCAGGAGGAGGAGTTGTCCATGTGGGCGTTACACCGCCCAAGTAGCGTGATGGTTGCAGCTTTGGTGTCTGGAAGTCTAAGCAAGACCTAAAGACATGGTTTAGGGAATGCTAGAAGTGGGAGGGACCTCAGAAATTATTTAGCCCAACATTCCAGCTCAGCAGAAGATCTACTGGAATATCTACGACAGGTGACCGGCCGGCCAGCTGAAAGACCTTCTAGCAAAGAGAAGCTCACCACTTCATAGGTCAGCCAGTTGCTTTGGCTGCCAGCTGGCACAGTCAGGAACTTCCTTCTGAGGTCTAGTTGGAAGTCCAAGCTTGGTGAGGGAGAGCGAAGTAGGGTCCTCGGTGCTTCTGCTGCCTGCCACCGCAAGGTCCACCATGGCAGTTCAAGGCGGCTACACCATCCTCATCATCCCGCTGGGAACAGCCCTCAGCAATCTGCACGCCTTGCGGTTCTTTATCTGGGTAAGTCCTTGTGAGGACCCGGGATTCATGCACTCATCCAGCCTGCATATGCACCTTAAGCAATATTTATTTGCTCTGAAGTCCTGGAATGGCAGGAGCACAGCAAGTAAAATCCTGCAAATGAGGACATTGCTTTTCCCTCATCAGAAGCCCTTAAGTGGTGGAAACATCTTAATTTATATTGTGCTTTATTTATTTGTTTGTTTGCTTGTTTTAGTTTGTCAACCATGTATGAGAAAACAAGTATAAGTATGAACATAACGTATAAACATATAAGTATAAACGGGTATAAGTATATACACATAATAAATGAGCATGAATCAATGGGAATAGTAGAAAAGGTATGGTAGGCACGCTGGTGCGCTTATGCACGCCCCCTTACAGGCCTCTTAGGAATAGAGTGAGGTCCACAGTAGACAATTTAAGGTTAAAGTTTTGGGGGCTTGAGGATGTAACAACAGAATCAGGAAGTGAGTTCCTGGCGTTGACCCCTCTGTTGCTGAAGTCGTATTTTCTGCAATTGAGTTTGGAGCGGTTTACTTTGAGTTTGGATCTATTGCTTGCCCGTGTGTTATTGCAGTTGAAGCCGAAGTCGTCATTGACAGGTAAGGCATCGTAGCGGATAATTTTGCGTACTAAACTTAGGTCAGACCGTAGGCGGCGTAATTCTAGGTTGTCCAGGTCCAAAATTTCGAGCCTGGTAGCATAAGGTATTCTATTGCAAGCAGAGGAGTGGAGTACTCTTCTCGTGAAATACCTCTGGACTCGCTCAGTCGTATTAATGTCCGCTATACAGTGTGGATTCCAGGCAGATGAGCTGTATTTGAGAACTGCTTATGCTTAACACTCACCAAAGTCTGTCTTGGAAGCTTCAGCAAGAGTTGTATTTTCTGAGCTGACTCCTCTTTTGGTATAGAGATGGGTGTGTGTGCTCATGTAGACTTAATTATTAGTTCCTTCAATACTGCTAGCATTGCCAGCAATTATTTTGTGTCATCGTTATGATTCTCCGCTGTTTGTTGCAACTGAGTATGGATGTGGATGCCATTGCAAGCCAAAGCTGATTTGGATAGAAATCCACATGTAGTTTTACCATGCTGTAGAATTTTATTTTAAAAAGAAATTTAAAAAAAAATGCCAGAGGTTCAAATTAGCTGTTCAACCAACTGAGCTTCTTCCAAAGAGCCAAAATGCTGGAAACGAAGAGGAGAAGCATCCTTGATTGACAGAATGGGGTTATGATAATTGCGTCTCTTCTGTAACAGATGGAAGCTTATCAAAGAGAGATCCAGTCTAGAATGAAGGAGACATTTCCTTTCAGGGAGGGCAACTAATCAGTGGAATGGCCTGCCTCCAGAAGTTGTGGGTGCTTCAACACTGGAGGTTTTCAAGAAGAGACTGAATAGCATTTGCCCAGAGTGGTATAGGATCTCCTGCTTGAGCTTGGGGGTTGGACTAGAAGACCTTCAGGGATCCTTTCCAGCTCTGTTATTGCAGCTATCACCACCCTTCTTGTCTCAGATTATATCCACCCTCTTGGTGCTTTCAGTCCTTGGAACAGAGGGCTGAGCATTCACTCTTCTGAATGGAAACCCATCTGGTCTTAAATTATGGGTCTCGTGGGGAGATGACTTAACACTGTACGTCTCTTTTCAGGGTATCTTGTATCTAGTTAAAAGTGCTCGGTGTCATTCTAAAGAAATTCTCTTGGGAGTCAAAGAAGCAGCACTAATTACAATTTCTCTTTCTTTTCCTTCCTTCCTTCCTTTCCTTCCTTCCTTTCCTTCCTTACCTTCCTTACCCCCTCCCTCCTTTCCTTACTTCCTTTCTTCCTTTCAACCTTCCTCCCTCCCACCCTCCCTATTTCTTTCTTTCCCTCCTTCCTTTCTTTACCTTCCTTTCTCCCTCCCTCCCTTCCTTTTCCTTCCTTTTCCTTTCTTACCTTCCTTCCTCCCTTCCTCCCTCCCTATTTCTTTCTTTCCCTCCTTCCTTTCTCCCTCCCTCCCTATTTCTTTCTTTCCCTCCTTCCTT